TTTTTGTAAAAGACACCACTTTTAAATGAATTTAACAAATCTTTTCAGGAAGAGAATTTAGAATAACAGGGAAATGAAATTTCTAGGGGAGGGAAGAGTATAAACCGAGGGATTGAAAATAGAATGGATATTGTGTGTTTATATGTTTATTAAATGACAGAAGTGGTAAGTTAATGTCAGAGAATAATGAAAAATAAGTTTGAAAAGGTGAAGAAGAGCCACTTGATAGAGGCTCTCAACTAGGGAGTTAGACTTGCTCAAATGGATCAGAATCCCTAATCTTTTTTGTGGGAAGGAATAACTATTATTTTCCTTTAGTCTTTTTTCATAGTTTCTGTAGAGTACTGCAGAAATGCAGAGGAAAGAGCAAGTACTGTGGTCTGGAGTATTTGGGGACAGATGTGTATTAAACTGACTCATTCAATTCAGATTCAAATGAAGTCAAATGTTTGGGTTCCCACTAGGCGTGAGGTACTAGAAATGCAAAGATGAGGCTGGGTTTGGTGGCTCACATCTGTAATCTCAGCCCTTTGGGAGACTGACCTGAGGTCAGGAGTTTGAGACCAGCCTGGCCAACATGATGAAACCCTGTCTCTACTAAAAATACAAAAAATAAGCCGGGTATGGTGGCAGGCACCTATAATCCCAGCTACTCAGGGATTTGAGGCAGGAGAATCGATTGAACCTGGCAGGCGAGGTTGCAGTGAGCCGAGATCACACCATTGTACTCCATCCTGGACAACAAGAGCAAAACTCTATCCCAAAAAAAGAAAAAAAGAAGAAATGCAAAAATAAGTATGATGCAAATCTGTCTTCATGTAGCTATCTGGTGGGATGACAGACATATAAACAATAATTGCAGTGCAATGTGAGTGGCTCCAATCTGCTTTGGAAGCACAGAGAAGAGGGTAATTGGGAAGGGGACATATCAAGGGAAGACTTCATAGAAGAGAGAACCTCTGAACTAGATCCAAAGAATGAGCGAGAGAAGACCTTCTGGGCAAAGAGAATAGTTTATTGAAAGATACTAAAGCAGGAAAGGGTTCCACTTACGACCTTCAAGCTTGGTTGAAGTGCGCAGCATAGGAGGTAAAGGAAATGATAATAGAAGGACATAAAATGGAGAGGTTTTGTCAGAATGAGAATGAGCAAGCATGCCATGAATTTGGAGATTATTTTGTCAGTCTTTGCTTATCAGTGTTTTTCCTTTCTCCAGCCTATTGATGCACGCAAAAACCACACATAAGTAATCATTAATGATTCATAAAGTGATGGATAAGAGAAGCAAAGTAGAGCAATATTCTCAAAGTGAGCCAGGGGTACTAGAAGTCAAGACTATTTTCACATTAATACTAAGACGTTACTTGGCTTTTTCACTGTCATTCTCTCACAATTGTCCTTGGAGTTTTTCAGGGTACATGATGTGATGACATTCCTCTGACAGTTAATGCAATGTGTGCCTCTGTACTTTGTGTTTTAAATTTTTCTCAATTTTAATTTATAATGAGGTAGATATAGATAGATATAATTCATATAGATGAAAGTTATTGAGGTTCCTCAATCATTTAATTTATTTATTTATTTATTTTTATTTATTTATTTTTTTTGGGGACGGAGTTTCGCTCTTCTTACCCAGGCTGGAGTGCAATGGCGCGATCTCGGCTCACCACAACCTCCGCCTCCTGGGTTCAGGCAATTCTCCTGCCTCAGCCTCCTGAGTAGCTGGGATTACAGGCACGCGCCACCATGCCCAGCTAATTTTTTGTATTTTTAGTAGAGACGGGGTTTCACCATGTTGACCAGGATGGTCTCGATCTCTTGACCTCGTGATCCACCCGCCTCGGCCTCCCAAAGTGCTGGGATTACAGGCTTGAGCCACCGCGCCCGGCCGGTTCCTCAATCATTTTTAAGACTGTAAAGGGCTCTGAGAACAAGTTTGAGAAATGCTTTAGTAGAGAAAAATAGTAAATAGGGTTTGAAGATGGTTGTCAGATTTTGGAGGACCCATTGTTACCGGTGTTTAGACTTTATATACAGCTGATATTGGAGCTATTATAAATTGCTGGATAAGGAAATGACATGAAGAAGGTGGTCTTTTAGTTTGATATTAGGCTAGAGGTAAGATTGTAGTGAGTGTAGCAGGAAGAATTAATGTGGATAGCGCTTGAGATAGAGAGTTCTTTGGCCCCTCTCTTTGATGAGGATAATGTGGCCTTCCCAATGATGACACCATTTGTCAAACCTGGGTAATAGAGATTGGTTGGATCTTTCAAAAGATAGGGAAGGTATGAAGGGAATTATTTCATATGGGAAAACTGATGCCAAAGTTTGGTTGTGTTGAATTGGAAATGTCCACTAGTGGGACATAAAAATATAAATGTTCATTATAATGCTAGAAGCATGGACTGGGTCTCAGGAAAGAGACTAAATTTTTTTTTTTTTTGAGACAGAGTCTCACTCTGGCTTGCCCAGGCTGGAGTGCAGCAGTCATGGATCTCAGCTCACTGCAGCCTCCACCTCCCAGGTTCAAGTGATTCTCGTGTCTCAGCCTCCCGAGTAAATGAGATGACAGGCGTGTGCCACCACATCAGATAATTTTGTATTTTTAGTAAAGATGGGGTTTTACCATGTTGTCCAAGTTGGTCTCAAACTCGTGACGTCAGGTGATCCATCTGCAAGAGGCTAAAATTACAGGGAAAAATCAAATTGAGGAATTACTGCATAGAGTAAATATAGTAGTTCTGACACTAAATGAATTCTCCAGAGAGTAATGAGCAATAGTTCTCAACTTGTTTCCATCTCAGTATATGTGAGAGTGACAAATTGCCAGCAGAAACATCCTCTCCATCCTGCCTCCTCCCCTACCTCATTCTCCAGGAGACAGAGAAAACAGAATAAGAAAACTTAAACTAGGGGAGGAAGGGAAGAATATTAAGGGTGAGAGAGTGAAAAACCAGCATAGGGAAAATTTGAGATGTGGAATGAGAACTAGAAATAGGACAATGTCATGATAGTATTAAGGGAAAGAGAATGTAATGAAAATGTGATCCATTACTATTATCAAATGCAGCAGCATCAGAGAGCTGATAGAATAGAGAAGATTCTGCCAAAAATGGCAGGGGTAGGGACAAGATCCATGAAAAATCAGGATAGCATGGACTCCTCAGTTCTCCTCAGAGGAAAGGAACAACCACCATATTTTCTGAAGTAGTGGAATGAATGGGACAAGAATAATATAACAGAGACAAGGTCGTGTTAAGATAGACAGGGTAGGCCAAGTGTGAGGGCTGAAGCCTGTAATCTCAGCATTTTGGGAGGCCAAGGCAGGAGGATTGCTTGAGCCCAGGAGTTTGAGACTAGCTGGGGCTCTATAGTGAGACCCCATCTCTATAAAAAAAAAAAATAGTAAGGAAAAAAGAGAAGTAGATAAAAATGGGAGCCTCGTATTTTTCATCTTGGCAAAATAACATTGAACTCATCATAATTAAGTTTGTAGTAGCTGTTGAACTCATCAGTAATTAAGGTTGTAAA